TCAGAGACAGGCTCAGGAAAGAGGACAGGCAACATTCAAAGCTTAATTCTGGTGAACTGTTTGTGGCGAACATGGGTAGGGGAGGCAGGTGAGTAGGGCTGGCTTTTTTTTAAAAAAAGGAAAACAAAAAAAAAGCTTCTCACTTAAAGTTTTTAGAGGAAAGATTAATAAAAGAGCACAAAGTCACCACCTAAAGTTCCTAAACTATCTTGGTTAAATGCCATTCCAATAAGCTTATAGTGTAATTATAACAGTTCCCTTAGGTAAGTAAGAAACATCTGTTAGTAACACATAGCAGGTGTTAGCAATTACACATACTGATTTTTTTAAAGTGTTTTTAATTAAAAAGAATGCTGTTTTCTGAAAAGGAAAGCACGGTAAGTCCAAACAAGCTTTTGTTTGTGTGGCTCTAGATCATGTAATATGCAAAACGATAAAGGTAAAATCAACTTAAATTAGCAAGGGTTTGCACGTTTGACTCCAGATTATTGCAATCAAAACCAAATTGGAAATCGTTGCATTATTGTAAAGCATGTAAAGTATTCTAAGGCTCATCTAATGTATGAAATCCATACAGTTCAAGTAATCACTGAATACATCTGAGTGTTTGAACCTAGTAAGATTGCTGCTGTTAAGCAAAATATGATAAGTACTGTAAGAAAGGAGCAAACTGCAAGATATTCTGTATAATATTTTCTTCACATTCCCTTTGAGAGTTTCTAGATTATGTTAGAGCAAAACCAAAAAATGTTGTCAAATTACTTTGAAAAACTAGCCAAGAGCAATTTACATTTAACAATGTGATGTGCTGTGCCATTGAGAAATAACAGGAAAGAGTCACGTTGGAAGGCTAATCTTTTAGAGGTGTTTTTAATAAAAATTAAAAGATAATGAGATAATAAAGATGCCAAGATGAGGATATCAGGCATATCGGGATTTAAATCTTATCATAAACCTTCACTTTCCTTCTATATAAACTACGTAAGCAAACTAGTTGGCAGGGAAAAAAGCAGTATGCACCAACATTAGTACAATCTATGGATCTGTCTTTGTATCCAGCTGGGATCCAGGTTGTGCTTGTTTGTCATATACGACTCGGTGGTACCTTGCACAAAGGTATCACTAAATTCCAATGCAGAAAAGTACTCTTCCTACCTGCAGTTCTACAGCAATGTAAATGAGATTATTTGTCTTTATGTTCTTCCCAACAGTGTGTTTTTTATGAGGAGACACATACATAAAATAATGGGTATGAAAAACTCTATCAGAAGACTGTTATACTAAAGAAAAAAATGCATACATATTTTATTCACATAATTGAATGTTCAGGTCTTGAAAAGACGACCACATTTTTAACATTTTTCTACTTTCAGAAAGCTAGTTTTACATTCTATGTTATGTGTTAAGTATTTCTAAGCATCTTTCTCCTGTTCATGATGTATACCCTTCGTTTTTGCCTTTCTTGATATCGAGATAATTAAAATTTCTATCAGTTGGATTCAGCCATTACATTGCTGATATTATTACCAGCTTTCAGGATGAACAGAATAAGCAAAATAGTATAGACTCTTAAATTTTTACTGTTATATTAGTAATACTAGAACTTAAAAATACTTACTACCCAGCTTTGTCATTCATGACTGTAGTATAACAGCCAGGTGTCCAAACTCGATGCCACGCAGTTCACCAAACATATGAGCTGTGTACAATTATAATGTAGCAATAACTATAAAAGTATTCTGATTTTCTTTATCTAAGTTGAAGCAGAGCAGTTTAGTACTCACTGTAGAAAATGCCTTTTTGGAGTGCAGTAGTCCTATCACGACGAGTACATGTTCATTAAATAGAAAAGAGAAGATAAAGCAAGGTGGATTGGTGTTAATAAATGCATAACTAGCTAATGTCTCTAATTTAGAGTGACAGCTTCACATTTGGCCCTATGGTCTCTCAGTCGTCATGTAAGTGATGAAAAATTACTTACCACTAAAGCTGTAGCAGTAAGGATGCTTTCTGCTTTAGCTTCTCATCCCACTTTATTTTGGGGGCATTACATCAGGCCTTTTCACTCTTCACTTCTTCTGTTGCTCCAAACCACACTGTAAAGTGTGAAAAGTTCTTTAACCAGAGGATGACCCAACTGAAGTCATGGCAGCCTACAGACAGTTGAACTTTGTTGCCGTAAGCAAACTGATGAATTTCCAGCCTATAGCCCTTCCTATAAATTATTACTGAGTGCTGGCAGACTGCATTTAATATTAAATAGTCATAAGATAAAAGATAGAAACAGTCTTTGGAAGAGGAAATGGAAGCTAGAACTCTTTCCTCCCAAGTGTCTGCACCAAACACAAACTTTCTTTATCTTCTTTCTCAGTAGCTTTGTGAAGCTTGAATTTTTTTGTGCGGACGGCAAAGCGTCAACAAAAAGGCAAGAGAATTCCCTTCCTCCCCACTTGCTAGGACAGTCTGCAAGTAGCTGATCATGATATCAGCTCTCTGCTTTGCAAGATGGGGGTTTAAACTCTCTCAGACTGAGAAGGGCAGAGAACTTACGTCCCTCATATATGGAGCACGTGTTCCCTCTATACAGATACAGGATAAAAAAGATCAAAAGAAAAAGCAGCTTTAAAAAATTCTTCCTTAACAGAGAATTATCTGTGCTGTATTTTGCATGGCCAGCTGAAACATCTACCTGCAGGGAAGGTTCCCAAGCTATGAAGTTGAAATGAAGATAGGGATGTAAGCTTGTGAAATGGACAGGATACTAGCCATGTATCTCTCTTCAAAGTCAAGGTTAGTAACATCTACTCACTAACTGAAGGCACATCTTAACACTGGAGCTAAGCACTTGTATTTAGACATCATGATAATACATTGTGATAATAAGCACCCCTGTGTCACAGTCTGGATCTTTCTGTTTGTATCTTCCTGTCCATTTAGAAAACACTGCTCAGTCCCTTTCTACATCTTGGAAGTAGTAGGATGATAAACACACTATTGCTTTAAAGATGCTACAATATTACTGATAGTGGGAGCCTTAAGTTAACTAAGTAAGAAGGACTTAACATTGAAAGCTTTCCATCAACACAACTCAGTATCTCTAGTGAACAATGAAGTCAAAGTGATAAAATAGGCCTCCTGGGTATCACCTACCATCAGCTCATGTCTACTGGCTTATACTCTCCAGTCTATGTAAAGTCCATCTAATACACAAGCTACATATTTTAGTATTATCAGTTTATAGTGTCATGAGCTAGTGAAGTTTTCAACAGCCTGCAGATCCCTTTAAAAAAATCTGAAAATTTGTAACAAACATCCCATACACCTTTCCTTCCTTAAATGGGTGTATCTGATTTTGGAGTCTGACAGTCATCTAGGCAGAACTCTTGTAAATGAAGTCATGCTATATAGCATTGTGTTGTTGGCATTTACGGGGAAAGCCAAGCAACACAGAACTATCATAAAAATTCAGGGTTGCAGTCACCCTTGTCTTATCATGTAGTGTTGTAATAGGAAGTTTATAGAGAGGTTGGATTTTTAAGGACAGGCTGGGTATCAATTTGTTCCAAAGTTTTTATTGTGCTAATGAACTGTAACAGCTCTAATCTATTTTTAGATGGTGGCATTTCAAGTCTCTGTGCTCCTCAGTTCAAAATCTATAATGTGGAGATAATACCACTTTTCTACCTCACAGGATTTGCAAGGGTAGTAATTGTGGGATTTTGCAACAGAACCAGCTAAGCATATAAAACACATAAACGGGAGAACGACAATATATACAAATCCTAGCTTAGGAACTCTCTAGAGCACTAAT